GAGGTTAGTATTCGCGTTGACTGTAATATTACTTCAGCTACTGTAAAATACCAAAATAAAGGCTATTCAAAATTAGTGACTTAGTATACCGCAATCTGTCAAAACTAAACTCGTCGCATCCCTCTATCTCCCTTTATTTCTGACACTAATCTCACAATCTTTCCAATCTTTATCCGTGTAAAGACTCACCCAATATCCAATACTCTCACCCGATCTCTTCAACGACGCGAACCTGCTCCACGCTCCCTTTTCCACGGAAAATTCTTCCATCACGGTATATAACCCAATCCCACACATGACCAAGAGATGTGTTAAATCCCATAGTTTGCTCTTGACGTCCACCTCCCTCTGTCCCTGACCGGTCATTTGAAACGTGAACCCTGGCGGTAGAAACTGCAGCGGTAGATTAGCGAACGGGAACGGTAATTGATCTAACTGTTGTGATGGATCTTCCGTTTCCGGTTCTTCAGCTAGTTTTGAAAATGTAATGCGTAGTGAGTAAAAATGGTGTCGATTGAGAGATACCGCAAGCAGCAACATTATTATTACCAACTGACGAAGATACGTAATACGGCATATCACCAGTCACACTGCCTCCAACTGTTGACGCTAGCGAGCCGGTACTGTTATTCCGAGCCCGAAAATTCTCCAACATTTGTCGAAAATAGTCTTCTTGATCCATGTCGCTGTCATCTCCTGTTGGCTGATTAAAGGATGCGAATCCACTGGTTGGAGGTGTAGTTCCAGTGGTGGTGGGTGATGGGGGCGTAGAATAACGTCTTCGCGTAGTGTTGACATATGGTTGTTGTATCGGTGTTGGATGTGAGAGTCTTGTTGAGAAGTTGCTGTCATTACTGCTACCTATTCGGTCGGGGGAAGATGAAAAACTGAATGTGGTTTCACCATTTGAGGTAGAAGGCGAGGAGACTGTGACTTTTGGTGCGTCAGGTTTCTCTCGTAAATCTGTGGAGTAAGAAGAACTCAGATCTGTGGAAATAGGACGAAAAATTCGTGTAATTGGTGGAATTGAGATTTTTAAACTTTGTTAGAGTATAAAGTGAAACATAAATAAAGGAATGATTGGTGCCGCTGGCAACAGTGGACTAAAAATTATCGAAAACCAAATCATCTGAAAATTGACCTTTTCTGTGCAATTGGATCGCAAATATCAGTCGCCTGTTTCTCAAAATGACCTACCATTATAGTTCTCGGTGAGTCTAGCAGGAGGTTCGGTAGAAGTCGGAGACGACTGCTGGCTATTTGCTGGTGAGCTTTTCGGTGGTACTTCCAAACTATATGTTTGTGTGATCTGCTGCAATCTATCTCCAGCTTTAGCTATGATTTTTTTTTGTCTCAATTCACGTCGTTTCTTACGACGTTCTTGTTCTTTTTCCTGTGGAGTAAGATCTTGTCTTCCTTCTTCAGCCATGATTAGGGTGAGAAAACGAGTACAGCGGTGGACTTTTTTGGTGAAGAGAAATGTAATGAGCTAATTCTTTTGTTCAGGAAAGGGACCGAGTTTTTTTTTTTTAGTTTAGGTTTTTCATTCGATTGAGGCTGTTGCACCGATGCGTGAGAACATCGTGATTAGCGTAAAATCATATGGGCGCGCAAACAAAGTGATTACCAAAATAGCCGAATACTCATGGATGTGCATTCAATAATATCACAATTCAATTGACCTTATTGATTGAATTTATTGTGTACCTGCTCGCTTTAGTAGCCGCGCCAGAGAGAGTGTTCACAAGACAAACAATGTATGAATCTTGGTTGATTTAAATACAATTGGAAATTCTAACTGACGTCTATCTTTCGCTTGCTAATGTATTCTACTAATACGAAAAAATTTAATTGTAAGAAATAAGCGTTTGTTGCAATAGTCTTTCAGATCGTTGGACCAAAAGCTAGTTGAAATTTGAAATCGGAAACCAAATCATCATAATGCTTAAACGCGTATGTAAAGCATGTATTAGTATAACATGGTTTACAAGCAAATAAATCTCTACAGTAGAATAAGAAGCGACGGCCGGTAAGACAAATCAGTATGCCGAACATCGACTCTTCGTCTTTGTGATTAAAATCATTTTACTCGAAAATAAATTTCTACACTGGAGCAAAAGCCTTGGCGACAAGACGAAACAATATGCCGAACACAGACTTTTCGTGGGTCAAATTCCCGGACGGGCCAGAAAATACAGTATCAGTATATTAATGTGTTGATTTTCAAAATAAATAAAACTGTTCGTGTGCTTACACTTTTGCGTCGTTGCTTGCCCAGGTTGTGAAAAATATGCTCCTGAAGTATATACTAATTCGCTACAAATATAAATATTTGGACCCATTGTTAAAAGAAATGTGAGAACGTTTTAAGAGACCATGTGAGCTAGTGTTAGAGAATAATGGCGATCGAATGAACTGATAATAATGCATATACACTCGCTGGACGGGAATTTTCCGATCAACTGTGGGAGGCTTTTTTTTTTCGAGCATCTTTATTGCCCATACGTTGTAAGCTTATCGTTTTGAAGCTATTGATTGTATTTTCGAAAAATAAAATATCTATAGCGATAGCTTCAGCCCCATTACCGTTTCAAGGCTGCAGTTCGTAAAGTGGCGGTATTGATGTTATATGCTGTTTATACATTTCTTATATGGTTATAGCAAAAATTCGGCAGTGAGTGTAAAAACTAGGCTTCCGACTTCTTTATTTCACCTCTGATTTTGTCATGTTAAAACTAGCTTTAGCGAGCCTGTAGCGGAATATCGTAGCTTGGAGATAAAGTCGTATAAATATCGTAAAAGCTAGGCTTTCGACCTTGGTTACCCTCCTGGATTAGCGAGTTCAATAAAGATAATTGTTAGTTTGGCTTGGAATTACGTGTCTCAAGATACGAGGTTTTAGCATTTTTTATACTAGAACGACATAAATGTTTCCCTATCATTCAGGCGCATCATGAACTCCTCTTCTGCAATTCTGCTAAAGCATTTCATAATATACTTGTTATTCAGTTTAAATGTTTACGTCCTCATGGTATCAAGTTCCAACTTTCAAGCCTCACTACCGAAAAAAAATCTCATGTCCATTTCATTCCATCATATAGGCTGCTTTTTGAATTATAGCTCCGTTTTCTATTTTTGCGACCTCCGTGCAGTTGTCGAAATATTCCAGTAATCATATTGTGGATATCAACGATTTCGTTAAGACAATTGTTAATTCTCATCCTAGATGGTGTAACCGGTCAAGTTCGCATATTCTCGTAGTTGACTAATAGAAGCATCCCCAAGTCACTGATCGCAATGTTTGGCTGAATAATCGCTTGGCTTGGTCGAGAACATCAAATCGTGAAGAATACAGAAAGAATTTTGAGAATGAACATATTCTACGCAATACAGTTTTATTATCATATTTCTTCGGAGGTAAGCCGTCATGGTTCGATTTCGCCCTAGTCTGGTAACCGCACGATAGACACAAATTTCATTAATTCAAGCTTTTTATTTCAATGTCCCAGTTTCTGTAAGTTTAATCATT